TACTCAGACCTCTTCTGCCTCTCCAAGGAGGACTTGGCAGAGGTGCTGGCTGAGTTCCCCAGCGCCCGGGCCATGATGGAGGCCAAGGGCCGCGAGCTCCTGCTGCGCATGGGCAAGCTGGACGTGCATGCTGAGGCAGCGGCAGCGGCGGCGGCGCAGGAGGCTGGTTGCCGGGCACAGGCACTGGAGACAGCCCTGGAGGGGCTGCAGACCCAGGCGGCCCGGCTGCTGGCCCAGCTGGAGTCCAGCGCCTTCAAGCTGGCGTTGCGCGTTGAGCGCCTTGAGTGCCAGCTGCGGCGGCGGCAGCCTGCTGGGGGAGCGGGTCCTGCACAGGGACCGGGTCCTGCCACGCTGCGGTGTCCTGCTGGGACACAGGATCCTGCTGGGGGACTGGGTCTTGCTAGGGTGCAGGGTCCCCCCAGGTCGCAGGGTCCTGCAATGCCACGGGGTCCTGCCCAGGGACCAGGTCCTGCTGGAGGATGGGGTCCCACCAGGGTGCAGGTTCCCAGCGGGGTGCAGGGTCCCAGCGGGGCACAAGGTCCCAGCAGGGCACAAGGTCCCAGCGGGGCACAGGGTCCCCCCAGGTCGCAGGGTCCCAGAGGGGCACAAGGCCCCAGTGGGGCACAGGGTCCCCCCAGGGCACAGGGTCCCAGAGGGGCGCAGGGTCCCATGCTGGAGGATGGGGTCCCACCAGGGTGCAGGTTCCCAGCGGGGTGCAGGGTCCCAGCGGGGCACAAGGTCCCAGCAGGGCACAAGGTCCCAGCGGGGCACAGGGTCCCCCCAGGTCGCAGGGTCCCAGAGGGGCACAAGGCCCCAGTGGGGCACAGGGTCCCCCCAGGGCACAGGGTCCCAGAGGGGCGCAGGGTCCCAGCGGGGCCAGGGGCCCCAGCAGGGCGCAGGGTCCCCCCAGGGCACAGGGTCCCAGAGGGGTGCAGGGTCCCCAGGTCGCAGAGGGTCCCCCCAGGTCACAGGGTCCCAGTGGGGCACAAGGCCCCAGTGGGGTGCAGGGTCCCCCCAGGGCACAGGATCCCCCCAGGGCACAGGGTGCCA